CTGATGATGGGCATCTCGTGAAGAGCCCTTGTTTGCAAGGGATTGGCATTGCTTTCCTTCCTGCACCGCACACAGAGCTGCAGCCTCTCCAGAGCTGCTCCGGCTGCTGTCTCCTCTGCTGCGTGGAGGTGGCAACTCCGATGGAAATTTCCGTGCACTTCAAAGCACTACCTCAGGATATCTGCTTTTGTGAGAAAGTATCCCCAGTTAAAAATTAATGAAATTCACTTTTAGGATCATTTACTTTCCTCCATCTAAACAGCAGGATTTTTGCCAGCCTCTCCACACCGGGAACGCAGAACATTCCTGCTTTGGCACCTTGGGGACCTGGCCTCTGGTGATTAGATTGCCAATTAATATCAGTGATTAACACATTCACAATGGCTGGCTGAATCCCACCCTGGCATTTTGCAAACGCTGCATGTTTGGGGAGTGTCTTCATCAGCTTTTGAAGTTCTGAGCTGTGAGCTCCCTGCAAACCCTCAGCCTGCACTGGAAACTGGGGCTGGGCCATTAGAGCAAACATGCCCCGAGAAGCAAACATATTAGGGATTAATTAAATACCAGGCTTTATTTAATTAAGCCTCTTCTCATAAGTATGTAGAGGCAGTAATCTGGAATGAGCATCCATTCTTCCTTGCACTCCCATTTTTAGAAGTGCATTTAAACTTAGTGCTGTTTAAACCTGACATTGGGGTGCTGTAGATCCCTCCTGCCTCCCCAGGGAAGGAAGAGACAAACACAGCACTGCTGAAAGGGTGGCATAATGATGGCATTCCCAGGGTTGGGAATGTTCCCTGTACCCACACGAGACCCACCCTGGGGAGAGCTGGAAGCCCTACAAGAACCCAAAGACTTTCTGGAGTCCCCAGGGGCGGACAAGTGCCAGCCCTGAGCAGTGGCAGGGACCTAGGGTGGCTCATCCTCCCTCTCTCCTCTCATCCTCCTCATGTTTTTTAATGAAAAGCTTATCCCTTCTGTTGCCTGCAAGAAAGGCTCCACAGACCGTCCCTATCACTGCCAGTTTAAAGGTCTGGAGATCGATCCCGGAAATACCAAGGCAAGTGAATGAGATCAAGTCCAAGATCATTTTTAGGCCCTGTTCAGAGAGCACTTCCTTGCCTTCCACATCCCCCACTGGCAGTGGAGGATCACATACGGGTGTAAATTATCACCACCGTGTCCCAGCTCCAGGCTGTCCTTGTGCCAGGGCCCTCTGGGATTCTGGGACACAGCAGAGCTGTTCTTCACCTCCTGTGGAACAGAGGGCTGGTTCTGGAATGGGCTCAGGGTGTGTGGAGCTGCTTCAAGGTCTGAGCTTGAGAAAGGACAGTCACAGGAAAGGGCCACCCCCAGTGAGCTCAGGACAGCGGGATATGGTGGGATATGAAGGGATGTGGAGGGCTGGTTTCTCAGCACTGGTAATGTCTCTGCAAACCCCTGACCATGACAGAGATGCTTGGGCACAACACAGAGGATGCCCTGTGCCCTGTGGAATCCAGCATCACCCTCCCAGACAGTGACCTGGATCTCAGAACAAGGATAGCAGCACTGAGCATCCCACTGTTCTCCCAAAACAAACACTTCTGGGTGCAGCACAGACAACCCCCAGTGCTGGCAAAGGAAGCATTTTGGGCGCTCCCTTTTTGGGGTATCCCCATTCCCTCCCTTCCCAGGGACCACGTAGCCAGAAAGAACAACCAGGATCTTATTGATTGGAAAATACATTAACCATAGAGAATAGAGCTTTAATTTTTCTTTCTGAACAACAATAAGGAACAGTTTACATAAAAAAAAAAACAAAAGCATGAATAAAATAATATAAAACAGATATTATACCACAGTGTGGAATTCAGATAATCTAAGAACATTAGCAGCACTTCTACAAAGAGATTAAAAGCTGTAAGTGCTCGTTAAGCTCAGATAGAGCAACTCCCAGAGACCAAAATGGCATCAAAACAGAGAAAAGCAGCAATTCGGTGTAGGGCAACAGAAAAGTCTAATGCCAGGACATCAGATACATTCAAATCCCTGCAGTGAGGGGCAATTCCCTGTCCCACAGAGCCTGGGATGGTGCATGTCCCCCTGTGATGGCTGTGGCACCCACTCACCCTGCCCAGCTCTCCAGAACACTCTGTGCACTAGGGAAGTGACAATCATGGGTCTGAGGTTGTTGGATTTTCAACAAGAGTTTTCATTAATTCTGTTTGGGAAAACACATTCTCCTTCCCTGGCTCCTGGGAATTACTCTCCAAGGAGAGACTGAATTTCTGAGAACTTAAGTCAATCTTACATAGCCATGACAATGAAATCTTTATTCTCTCAGTATCCAGGATCAGAATTTTCAGTTCTTTATCGTCCTTAGCAGCAAAGCCACACTCCTTCCTAAAACTTCCATGTATTTAAGATCTTGTGCATAGTTTAAATTTTAGCTATGATTAAAAAAATAAATTACCTAAAATAAAAGGATAATTGGTGCTTTTTCCTCCTTATCAAAGAGCTGATGCAAAGTACCCTTGCTCCTAGTCATGTCCTACTGCTTATGGCTCGGGAGCCACCGTGGAGAAGGGACCATCACCCGCAGCCCTATCTGGGCTCTGCTCAGCCTTCATGTGCAAAATCCATTTATAAAAGGAAGTTATTAAACTAACAAACAGGAATTTAAGGTATCACTAATCTAAAATTAGACACATTAGAAGGCTTCCATGGCTATTCTGACAGTCAACATTCTCTGGGAAGTTCAGAATTCGGGCAAAGTTCAAAAGGAACCCCCACACTGAGCTACGTGAGCGGCACCGGAACGGCCCCAACTGTGGCCCACGCGGCCACCAGAGAACAGAAACACAGTGTCACTGGGGATCACAACAATTCAGGTGCCTTAATCAGTGAAATAGGATTATATCAGTGAAATAGGGGCAGGCAATGAGGGTACTGACCATGAGTGCGATTAGAGGAACATTTGATCTACTTCAGGGCGTCTGAAAAAACTTTTACAGGAATTTCTGACACAGCTTCTGCTGAGTTCCAGCCCTTCCACAGTGCTATAAAGTTGTCACTCCATCTTTACATTGTGCTCTTTCTCTATCAACTTGTGCTCATACAATAGTAAAATGCCGAAGACAAGCCCAGAACTGCTCAGTACTCGGGGAAAATCCCAAATAGAGTGAAAAATAAAACAGTGGTTGACACCTGCAGTTCCACTGCTGGCTCCACTTGCACTACAAGGTGCATTTGGATAAGCTAAGGGATGTTCACTATGTCAGGGGCTGGCTGAGAGCAGGGCAGGGAGGCAGCAAGAATTTGCCATTCAAAAAACCCTCTCAATCCTCACAAAAAAATGTTCACAGCAAAGCAACTCAGAGACTAAACACAGCAAGAGAAAAACTCCTAGAAAAATCACACATTTTAGGAACAAAGACAATTTCTAAAGGGTCTGCGTGAGTTAACACCAGAAGAGATGGGTACCAGGAGCTTGTTGGAAGGTTGCATCAGCAGAAAGCTCAAACACAGGCAGAGAATCCATTAGTCACTCCCTCAGGGGGACGCGGGGCCAGGACACAAACATTCACTGGATTTAAACACACCAAGATTATCTGAGCTGAGCAGCTCGAGCATGAGATAAATCCCAAACCCCACAGCTCTGCGGATGCTCAGTGAGGTGTGATGGGAGCTGAACAGCTCAGCCTGTGGAGCACATCCTTCCTCAGGCTCAGCTCTGGAGCGACCCAGAGCAGAGAACAGGGCTGGCAGGAAGTGGGATGCAAACCTTGCTGCACCCCAGGGAAGAATGCAGCAGTCTCATCAGAAAGTATGGAATGGTTTGGGTTGGAAAAGATCTTACAGCTCATCTCATTCCAACCCCCTGCCACGGGCAGGGACACCTTCCACTAGATCAGGTTGCTCCAAGCCCTGTCCAACCTGGCCTTGAACGCTTCCAAGGATGGAACAGCCACAGCTTCTCTGGATAACCTGTGCCAGGGCCTCACCACCCTCACTGGGAAGAATTTCTTTCTAAAATCCAATTTAACCCTGCCCTCTGTCAGTTTAAGGCACAGCAGCTCCAGTCCCTGGTCCCACAGAACCAACAACAGGCTAAAGATAGATAGTCCCCAGCTCACAGTGCCATTGCAGGGGGGGGCTCAGCTGCGCAGAGCTGCTGGGGTGAGACATTCCTCTCCCCCAAGGAGCCAGACAAGATTGCTGTATATGGACAAACATTCCCTGGTGACAGGCTTCTCCTCCATGGCTGCACAGCTGGGAGAGATCCATGCTGGATGCCAAGGCCACGATTCCCACTGTCGGAACCCCAGGACAAGGCTTTATCTCAGGGTGGTCTAGCTTGGGGGCAGAGCCATGCATGAGAGGCTGGGCCAGAGAAGGCCCACAAAGAGCTGCACAACAAACCCTTTGCTTCCATTTTAGGAGTTTATAGCCATCAGAGCCCCAAACCTGGGGGGTGCCTCGCTGTGGGTCTCCACAAGCACAAGAACCTGCCCTGGAGGGCCCAGCACAGCTGCCCCCACTGAGCCTTGGGAAAGATGTCCAAAGCAGAGCTGGGACCAGGCATGGATGGGGCCAGAGCACAGGGATTGTCACAGCCTGATTCTGACCTCCTGGGAACACAAAGCTGGACCTCCATGGTCAGACTCAAGTGCTCACAGGAATATTAGTGAGCAGATGGTTTCCCTGATGTTTGTAGGGATTGGGGTGGAGCAGCACACGGGCTCTGCCTGCAGCAGGGGCTGGTGAGGAGTCAGTTCTAATGCTCTGCATGGGCCAGGGACACTCCCTACCCAAACAGGGTGGCCAGGCACTTTTAGTCCCAAATTAAATGACAGACTCCTCTTTGGACTATCCAATTTCTCTACAGCACACCAAACCCCTGCTCTGCAACTGTTCTAACCCAGCAAATCCCCAGGCAAGGCACAAGACCCCACACAGCTTGAGCAGAGCATCTCCTGCACACTCGGCACCAGACCTTTTCTCCTCCTTTTTTTCCCCTTCTTTTCCAGTTTTAAAGTTAGAACTAAGATGAAGCCAAGCTGAGGTCATGATGGTGGTTCTGCTCTGAGCTTCCTGTTGCCCCACCACCACAACTCTCCCAGCAACAGACTGGCACATCATGGAATAGGTGCTATAGAAACCACACAGTTCTTAGAAGCAATAGATTTCTCACCCCCTCCCTCAAAAAATAACCCACTTAATTCACATATTTTCTCTCTATACTGTATATATATTATATATAGACACAATTCTCTGGTAAACATGTACAAGATATTGTAAAGAACATTGAAAATGTCTATTTCCATTTGCACAGCAGCACACACTCACACGCCAGCACACAAGGACACACAGTCAGGTACAACCAATAAATAAATACTTCCCCCCCCCCCCGAAATTATTCAAAAAACACTGCTATTGAGCAGCCCAAAGACACTCTCAGTTAATACAGACAGCAAATATTGTGCAGAATCTCTTGGCTGTTTTTGTTTAAAAACCAAGGAAAGAAGCTTGAAAGTTGTAAGAGATGTTGCTTGGTCAGACTGTGTTTCAGGAGACCTGTGGGTTCCTGTCACTCAGGAAGAGGAGGGCAGAGCACTTCCCCTCTGGACAGGTAACACAGGCAATTGCCTGTCCTAGAACCTTGAGGGAACAGGAGCAGCCTGGGATGGAGGGAGGGCAGGAGCTTTTTGCTCTGCTTGGTGGCAAGATGGAAGATTCTACACAGGAACTGGCAGATCTGAAGCTCTTTGTTTCCTGAACTACTACAGACCAGCACCCTTTGGGGATTTACTGCAGGAAACTCCTGCAAGGAATTTCCTAGATCGTTGTACACATCTGTTGGGATTATGAGGAGCAAAGGGCTGCCCCTTGCTCTCCCCCTTGCCAGAGGCTCTTCCCCCAAAGGTTCAGGATGTGCCACTCTCCTTGCTTTTTCCAGCTGTGACGTCCATGTCCCAGCATATGGAAAGTGCTCATTTTTCCACCCGATTTGCTCAAGCAGCAAACCACTTCACCACGCTCCACAGAACCTCCCTGAAGCAGCAGTTTTCTCTTGTGCAGATTGACATCTGTTTTCTGCAAGCAACATCTGACACATGCCACGAGCCAACACAAAACAACACAGACAGATGTTCCACGGGAGAAGGGAAAGGCCCTTTCCCTTGGGTGGGCAGCACTCCAGCAGCAAGGCAGGAGCAGGGCCTTCCCTTGCAGAGGAGTGGAGGAGAGCACACACACATCACACATTGCACAGAGGGGGAACACAAATTTTTGCAGCAAAACGTGAGAGAAAGTACCCTTAGAGAAAGAGGGCTCCAACCCAGTGCCTGCCCCGTGGCCATGGCACAGCACCCCCCAGCTGGGCTGGACCCTCCAACCACCCACACCTCTCCTTTTCCTGTTTTGTTTTTACCTGAGTTGAAAAATGACTCCGACCCCTCCGCAGAGCTGAGGACACAGCAGCTGAGAGGCACTTCATGCAGTGGGCTCCAGGCTCCAGCACTGGAGTCACTGCAGGAAAAGTGGCCACACGAGTGCATCTTCCCAAAGCAAAGACCACTCAGAGACCTTGGGCTATTCATCTCTTCATAGACATGTAAAAGAAGCCCACCAAGACCTAAGTGGAGACTTTTCGTGGGCTTAGGGGGCTTGGCAGCACACGGAAAACCCACAGGCACCAAGGGGATTGTTTGCCCTGTCGAGCTTTGAGCAGCTGGTCTTAATGGACAGAGGAGAAGACAGGCACCATCAGAGGGAAAAGCCAAGATAATCAGGAGCTCTGACTTGCCTTCTGAGGAGCCCTCCCCCTCCCAGAGGCTGCAAAGGAATGACAGGGAGACCAGACTTCTACCACAAGCAGCTAAAGTAAGGCAGGTAAGAAAACCTCCAGCCGAGAGTTCGCAGAGGAGGTCAGGACCAGATTTCCCAGTGTTCAGAGAGGGTTACAGAGGCTGGATTTTGAAAAAAAACAAAACAAAACAAAACAACAACAAACAAACCCAGTGCTGAATTTGGAGCTGTTCTGAAAATCCATCTAGAGATGAAACTCTTGTGTGCTCAGATACTGTAGGAACAATGTAAAATCCCAGGGAGAAAACAGAGCCTTAGAAAATAAAATACTGAAGGGGATGCAACACATCAAGGGACAAGATCAAAAGAGGAATTTCTGTGATCAAAGTCCCCCCTGTTACTGGCAGAACCTCATCATGTTGGTAAGAAGCTGAGGAATGGCAGCATCCCTGTGCTGTCTGGGCTCACAGACTGGTTGCCTTCCTACCGCCAGGAATGGCCCCAAGGAAGCAGCTTTACGTCTGGGCAACAAAGGATGTGGAGTTCTGCTTCTCCCAGCCCCCAAACTCTGCCCTGGGATGCTGGCAATGCCTGGGCAATTGTGGTGGGCACAAACCTGCTGCCCTTCCACTGCAGCAAGGCCAGGAAGTGACTGCCTAGTCCTGCTCCCAATGGGTAACACACACCTGGACGGATCTTTGGTTGAGTCACTGCAGAAGGTCTGAGCTGGGGCCCCTGGCACAGCACTTGGGGAGCCGAGGGTACTCCCAGCTCAGCCAGCAGCACGTGTCCCACTGCCTGAGTTCCACAGGTGTGGCACTTGGAGAAAGAGGAGAAGGGAGGAAGCATCGGAGGGGAGTCTCGGCTCTTTGGATGCCTCGTCTGCCCCGTGTCCTTCATTTGTTCTCGATCAGAGTCTGCACTTTATAGACAAGGTCCCGAGCCAGCTTCAGGATCTGCTTGGTGTTGTGTCGCTCAGCCATTTCTGGAACACAGACAGAGGAACCCAGAGAGGTAAGAGCTGAGCAGCCCCACAGCTCCTCATCCGAGCCCCAGGTGAGAGCTGAAGCTGTGAGCTCCTGCCCACATTCCCAACACCACCCATCACAGAGACACCTGGCTCTGGAGAGCTCCTCAGGATGATGTTAGCCAGCAGGAAGCACAACCTACATTTTCTGCTCCCTTTAGCACATCCGGGTGGGTCAGCGCTGGAGGATGGCATGTGGATTCCCCCAGCACCACCAGACCCCTCAGAGCCCAACTGTTTAGGGGCAGAAGGGCTCTACCACCGTGTTCCACACCCTCACACTGCTCTGTGTGTGTTAAACATTTACAGCAGAGCCCAGACATGACTGCCTGCACCCAGCCATGTGCTGCACACATCTGAGCAGCCGCCACGAATTCAGCCCGACAGAACACAAGCTGTACCGTTGAAAAACTTGATGATGTCTGTGAAATCCATGTTGTTCTCCAGGATGATGTCCCGGTACATCTCCACCAGGGCCAGGGCTATGAAGAGCACGTAGTGAGCAGAGGAGACGTGCGCGGCGGCCCAGATGGTCTCCCAGACGGAGAACACGTCGTCATACACCAGCTCTGTGAACAGAACAGCCCAGCACTTACCACACCAGCCATGGCTTCACACCATCCTGACTCACAGAGCTCACAGCAGCGCTGGGGAGACTCGCTGGGAGGCTTCTTCCCACAAGAACCTGTTCCAGCTGGAAGCAATAAGTCAGCCACTTTTAGAGAGACACTTTCTGGCCTGCAGCAGGTGGCACAGGCCTCAGGACACGCTCCTGGTGAGGCTCAGCAGCAGCTCTGGAAAAACAGGTTCTGTATCCAGACAGAACAGACAGCCCCACACAAGCCAGGGAAAAGCGAAAAGGGATTTAGAGTTAAGTTTAAACTACTAAGTTGCAGAGTGTGCTGAGGAGCCTGGCTGACCCTGCCCACTCCCGGCCTGGGTGGTCTCAGCACACACCTCTCTTGAAGTCCAGGAGAAACCATCGGTAGCAGAAGTAGAAATGAGTGTAATCCCCATTCTGGTGCATCAGCTCGAAAAGCTCAGAGTCCAGAATCTGTCAAGAAAAGCAAAAGGAAACTCAGCAGTGCACACAGGAGGCCCCAGCCATCTCTGTGCCTGCTTTCCTCTGCTCCCAGGTGCTTTCCTACAGCACCAGCTCATCCCTCCCTTTCCTGGCACACATTACTCCAGGCTTCTTTAGAGCTCCTGCTCTCCCCTCCTACTTCCCACCACTGAAACCTCCTCTCAGCCCCTCCAAGACCCCCATCCCCTACACTAGCTTTCCCCCTCGGGTGTGAGAAGCCACTGTCCCCATGCCAGGACCCCTTACCTGGATCAGCGACCTCATGTTGGCAAAGTGGGTGTCCATGGCTCCTCCGTGGGGGAAGTTCTGATTCATCCTCTTCATCAGCTCGGTGAAACAGCTGAAAGCCAGAGCCTCTGTGCAGGGAGGAGAGACACCACTGCTGGGCTGCACAGGCTCTGCTGCACCTGCTCCCACAGCCACCTGCAGCAGGAACATCCCTCCAAAAGGCCCACCCTGTCCCCAGGTTGGGCTCCTGGGAGCCAGACAGCACCAAGGACAAAGGGGATCCTGCTCCTCACCTCTAAGCATGGGACCCCTCTATGCAAAGAGCCACCACAAGCCTGGCAGATTCCCCCACATGATCCCACAAAGTGACAGGGAAAGCAGAGCCACCCACTCACCATCATCCAGGATGACCAGGAGAGGGGCCAGCAGGTCACACATCCCCTGCACGTAGCCAATCTCAATGTGCTGCCAGATGTAGCTGTGTGAGAGAGCAGGAGAGGTGACCAAGTGCCACATCCCTTCCCGGGATGAGGAGGGAAATCCCACCTGTTTATTCTGTTATTCCTGTGCTGTAAATTATTAAATTCCAAGGCAGGCATGCACGGCACAGTCCTGCATTGACACCCTGCCATGGCTATGTCCCAGGGTGTCCATTCAGGGCTGTGCCATGGCCATTGCATGGAAAATCAGTGCAGGGAAAAGCAAAATGGGAAAGCATGGCACAGTAGGGTCATTGGTTAAAGGACAGAGACTGATGGAATTTGTTAATTTATTTCTCATTCTCATCCTTCCCCCTTGAATAATCCTCTTGGTTCTCTGTGCACAATACTGCCTGCCTTGCCTTCCCATTCCCAGTGTCCCAGGAAGCACCCAGCCCTGCAGGGATATCTTCCCTTATTTGGTAAGCAAGTCAAAATGCATTCAGAAAGGGCTCAGATCTGCTGCTGGCACAAGGGAACGACCTTTTCCAGCCTGCCCACTGGTTTTCCAAAATCTGCTGTACTGAAGGTCTAATCTCAGCACAGATCTCCAGCTTTGGCTGTCAGATGAAGCGACAGCACTGATGGAACAGCAGCTTCTCCTCATGTTTGCAGGATGAGTAATAATATTTTATCCTTCATTGCCCATGAAGCAACGGCTGAGCTGGAGCGGGTCTGAGTTAGTGAGTGTCACTCAGCCAGCTCTGAGTCACAGGGACTCAGCAAAGACTCTCAGAAAAGTACCCATGTCTGGCTCTGTCTCTGGGGTTTTGGGTAGGCAATAACCATTCCAGCGCTTCAGGTACTTCCTCATTAGCACTACGGCTCTGTGAGCTGATCCTCGTTAAAGCCTTTTCCAGGCATAAATCCAGTGCAGTGGGTGCCCACAGCCCAGGAAGCCTCTACCTTGGCCAAAAACCCAGCACATGGCAGTCAAGGGACAGCTGGACACCTCTAGGCATGGGACACCTCGGGACCGCCATGTCCTTGGAGCGGTGGCCCTGGCGCTGGGATGATGAGGGGATTTGGGAGCAGAAGTCAAGGAGGTAAAACTCAGTAGCCAGAGCAAAGTTCGGGGCTCCAGCCTCAAGGTGAATTCCGGGAAGCCCCTTGACCCCCACAGCTCCCACCTGCACATGACGTTGCGGAGCTTCTCCAGGTTGGCCGGGGTGAAGTACCAGTAGTTGCGGTCACAGCGCTGCACGTCCTTCTCGATGCGGTGCAGGTTCACTGTGTACATGTCCAGCAGCTCTGGCTGCCCAAAACAAGAGCAAAGTTGATTTGTTCTCAAACAAAAAGCAAGAAGAGGATTGCAAGGGCGACAGAGCAAAGGGTAGAGTTTGGGTGGGAGGTGGGAGCCCCTCTACACCCAACTGTGGGATCAGCATGGGGCAAATGCAGGTAAATTCTGCCCCTCTACTTGGCCCTGGTGAGGCCACATCTGGAGTGTTGTGTTCAATTCTGATCTCCACAGTTCAAAAAAAGACAAGGAGCTACTGGAGAGGGTCCAGTGAAGACCACAGGAATCTGGAGCATCTCTCTGATGAGGAGAGACTGGGGAGCTGGGCCTGGTTATTCTGGAGAAGAGAAGACTGAGAGGGGATCCCATCAATCCACACAAATACCTCCAAGGGTTGTCAGAGGATGGTGCCAGACTGTGTTCAGCAGTGCCCAGTGACAGGACAAGGAGCAATGGTCATAAACTAAATGGAAAAAGTTCCACCTCAACATGAGGAAGAAATTCTTTCCATGGAGGGTGGCAGAGCCCTGGAACAGCTGCCCAGGGAGGGCATGCAGTCTCCCTCTCTGGAGACATTCCAAACCTTCCTGGACACATTCCTGTGTCACCTGCTCCAGGTGACCCAACCTTGGCAGGGGGGTTGGACTGGATGATGTCCAGAGGTCCCTTCCCACCCCAGCTATTCTGGGATTCTGTGGTTCTGTGAAATAGCAAGGCAGCCAGGAAGAAACCCACCCTGAACAGGTCCATACTTACAGAGTAGGTGACACCCGTGGAGGAGAGAGCAGATGTTTCACTGTTGGTCAGATCAGTCACAGCCACAGCCAGAGAATCCAGCTGGGGGTACAGACTCTCCATCTCTGGCTCCTCAGAGAGGTTGTCCTCACTCTCCACCAAGCTCTGCTTCTCAGCATCGTTATCTGCCCAGCTCTCCACCACAGTCAGGGCCACGGTGTCACACAGGGCCCCCACCGGGCCCTCACCCACGGGAACAAAGTCCACACTTCCAACGCTGGGAAATTCACCTTCCAGGCTGTCTTGGCCCTGCAGCTTCTCCTGCTGGACACCATCTGTGTCTGCTGGGGCTGGCACATCGGGCCCACCAGCCTTTCCCTGGGAGCTGGACGAGGATTTGTTGGTTTCCAGGGCACTGTCCTCGTTGCTGAAGCTGCGCTCTGAGAACCCTGATGTGATGGAGAAGTTTTGGGAAGAGGGGTGGCCAGAATCAGGGGAACAAGTGCCATTAGGAACTGTCCCATTGGGGACCTTGCTTTGTTTGCCATCTTCCAGCTGAGCATCTACTTCTGTCTGTTCCACTTCATCCACAGATTCAAACACCTGCAAAAGTGTGAGCAGAGACACACGGGAGCATCATGGGAATTCAGCAAACTACTGGGGACATAGTGCCCATATTCCCAAGAGCTGTGTACTCATAGAGCCCATGTTCACAATGGTGGAGAGGGAAGAAAATCACCCTTTAGCTTCCTCTCCTTGGATCTGAGTCAGCACTTGGTCATTTGCACAACTCCAAACCCACAAATCCCTGCTCTGAAGGGCTATGCTTTGCTTGGCATTATATGCTGGGCAGAAAGTGATTTAAACAGGTATTAAACACTTGGGCAGTAACAGAGGGAGCAGCCACAGACCCTCAAGTGTGACAGCCACGGGGCAAAGCAGGCAGGTGAATATTCAACACCACAAGCAGAGGGCAGTTCTAACTTTAGTGGCTCCGGAGCTCTCTGGGGACTCATTTACCTCCTCCAACACTGGTTCTGTTTGCCAGAGATCCCCATGGTTATGGCTGAGGAGTCAACTCAAGCCAGGGCAGAGCGGCGGGGACACAAAAAGGAGAGGACAAGGTGCTGCAGCTCACCTGGGTGCTGGAGCTGGAGTCGCTCTGCAGCCGGGCATGGTTCTGTCGGCCGGAGCTGCAGCTCTGGGACGACTGCAAGGGAGAGGGAAAAGGGCAGTGAGAAGGCAGAGGGCACAGGGTCTGGGTGTGGGAGCTCAAGCAGAGATGGCATTTCTGCAGGTGAAGGGCAAGCAGAAAATGCATGCAGTATATTCTCCTATTTGACCCGTGAAGGACGTTCCTATCACATTGACTTTGCCGTGTGTGTCCCCCAGGGCAGTGCTCTGCCTCAGCCACCATCACCGACTGCTGAGGAAGGTGACAAGAGCCAAAGTCTCAGGCCAGTGCAGTTGTCAAGAGCTGCGTGTTGGGTCTGAAAGGAGCTGCTTTCCTCTGGCCTGCAGAGAGGTCACGCTGCCTCCCCAGAGTGCAAATTTCTACAAATCTCTGTCCTAATTTGGCAGCAGTGCGGCTCAGCCCAGCTCAGTTTACATAAACGATGAAGTCACTGGCTATAAAACAGCCCCTCCAAGCATATTCATGCTTTTTTTCCTTTTCTTAAAGGACAAATATTGATGTTTTAAGCCAGCCTTAGCAGAGGCAGCTCCTCTCAAAGTCACGAGTACCCTGTTCTGGCTTCCAGCTGAAGCACAGAGGGAAGGGCTGGGCTTTGCAAGCACCAGCTCCATGCTCAGCCTTGTGGATTTCCTCTGAGCGACCAGTCCTCGCTCAGAGTGAGTCCTCCCTGTTATCTGAGCAGATGTGCAGAGCATGGAATGACATTACACACAAACAATAGGATTTTAAGAAAATACCGCACATTCAGAACAGCAGAATTTGTCCCCACCCTCGTATTGTGGGTGTTTGCTGGGCAGGGCTCTGATGGAGAAAGGAAGGGCGACAGCTTTCCTCCATCACCATGGGAGCACTTATAACAGGAAATTTCAGGTTCAGATGGAAAAAGGGTGAACCTTTGCCTGTGTTAACTCTGCCAGCTCCCCTCCCAGCACCTGTTCCCGGAACAGGCATGTGTGGGTACCAAAGAACCACGGTGGAGATGCCGAGGGGAAGGTGGTGATTCTTGGGGTTACAGCCACACTAACAGTGTAAGCCCAGCTCTGCTCATCCCCGGTGAGAGCTGCATCATCCAATTCCAAACAGCTCCTGGTTCAGACCTGCTTTGCCTGCCTCTCTCTCTCTCTGTACATACATGTAGCTCACAGGACTGGAGCTGAGCTCGTCTCTTTCCCAATGCACCCACACAAACTTCCCAGAGGGAAACAGATCAAGTCTCCAGGGCTCACCTCCCAGGCCCTGTTCATCTGGGCCTCCTCTTGGCCCCAGTGTGGCAGCCTGAGGTCACACAAACCAGCACCATGTGCTCTGCTGTGCTGGGCTCTGCTCCTCCAAGGACAAAACTCTCACAGAAACACTCCCTGGACACTGTTCCCAGAGCTGCCTTTCCTTTAATAGGTTTTTCCCTCCACACCCTTTGGTTTGGGCAGTGGATCTAATTCCTAAAAGCCAGTCCCACGGAGCTGGGTGTTCCCAGCTCTGTCCCATGATGGCACTGTATACCAAGGGTATACCGAGGTTCCTCTGTGCTGAGCAGCTGATGGAAAAGGGAGACAGCAAGCCCACTGCCCTGTTTCACAGCCCCTCAGTGCCAGGAGCATGATGTTCCTTGCCTCTTCAACAGTCTTCCATGGAGCTAAACCTGATGTGCACCAGGAGTGCATCAGGTAATGAGTACCTCGTTCTCTAGAAATACTCACAAGAAATATCTCACAGGACTGGTGAGAGTGTCTGGATTCAGTCATGTGGCCCCACAAATGAGTTACAAGGTCCTCTGCCAGGAGTCCCTGCCCTCTCCCTGCTGCCCCTGGTTTCAGTCCCTCTGCCCCAGCACCCCCATGGGGTCATGGATCTGAGCTCTTCAGTGCTCCTGGGATACTGAGGCTGTGGCAGCCAAAGCAAATTGGAGGTAAGACCCCCAATCTGTCTCTCAGCTGCAGCCCACAACCTCTTGGTCAGTGAATACAAGAGTTTGGAACTGGGTCACAGTGCAAGAGATCCCTGCTCCTACTGCCAAACACTCTGGAAGGGCAGGTGAAAGAAAACAGGTGGAAAAGCTCCAGCTTGCACAGGTGAGTGAGCGCTGAGGCACAGGGGGGCAGAGTCAGGGAAGGAGGGTGGGCAAGACCTGTGTCTCCATACAACAGGGAGCCTGATTGGACACAGCTCCCCTGAATCCCCCCAGCCTCACCTCGTTGCTGATGGTCGAGTCCCTGTGCATCATCCTCTGGATGTGGGAGTCCAGGCTGGCCCCCGAGGAGCACTTGGCCAGCGCAGCCGCGTGCGACTCCTTCTCACGCTGCCGGACGATGGCCTCGCAGCCCAGCCACTCTGCCATCGTGTGCTCGTAGCAGGCACGGGTCTGCTCGTCAGCCTGCAGCATGGGGGGACACAGGGGCTTGGAGTGGCTGTCCCTGGAGAGCCCAAACCCAGCCCCTCCTGCACTCCCAAACAGCCTCGCACAGAGGAGCGAACACTCATGTTAACTACGGCTGGACGGGACACGGTCACCCATCCACTGCACAATGCCTGACCCACAAAACCTGGCCAAAATTAGGATGGGAAATGCCCATCCATCTCCCCCCTGCCTTCCAGAGGTTTGCAGGGCACTGAATGTGAGGGATCAGCAGCTGCACAGGGCAGTGTCAAGCTTGGTCCTGTCAATTCGTGCTGATCCGAGTCTTTCTCCCACTCCTACCTACAGCCCAGTCCAGAGCGGACATGATGCCCAGTGGGCTCAAAGGGTTGGCTCTGCAAGCAGACCGTTTAAGCTGTGCAGTACTCAGGACACATCAATGCCACACTGCTGAGCTGGCAGCACACCCACACCAACCTCCTTTCTCTCTGCCTCCGTCATCCCAAATTGGTAATGGCCCAGCAGGAAGGGCCAGACAGCCTTCCTGATCTCGTGCTGGATCCCACCATAGTAGATCAGCCGCAGCAACTCCTGGTCCTCATAACTCTGTGGAAAGAGCTCAGTCAGTGCACAGACACAGCCAGGACATGGCCCATTGGGTGTAAGGCCCAGCCTCACCACATTTCAGTACCTGGAACACTGTCCAGACCCTAACTGTTCCCAAACCCTCAGATCCCTGCCTGGGCTCAGATAGAGCCAGAGGCTGCTGTGGGTGGACATTCTAGCTCACCACACCAGAAACTAGCCCATCAAAGTCACCACGGGTCACTGCGGTGCCTCTGAGCCCAGCAGCACAGCAGGCCCCCCCTCAAGGCCACAGTAATCGGGTGACAGACACTGCCCAGGCGAGCTCTGAACAGAAGGAAGTCTAGGAGAGCAGCTTTCATTTCCCAGCTCCCATGTGCCAAGGATTAGGAACCCTGGTTCTGTGCAGCCTTGGACAGGCTGGCTGACTTCCACAGGAAGGAAGAAGAGGAACTTCTCAAAGTGCTTGACCCCATTGTGCTACAACCGCCTGGACACCCCAAGTGCACCAGAGCTGGTATGTCCCCAGAGCCATGGCCCTACCGTGCTGTCCTGCAAATATCTCTGCCAGATGTCCACAGTCAGCCCCGAGCTGGCGCTGCAGGGGACATCAGAGGACACGATGTTGTGGTTCACCAGCGCAGACAGGTGGGTTCTCACCGTGGACAGGTGTCTGCAATAGGCCAGCCCTGCAGCAGGGAAAGCCAAACATTCAGCCTTGGACCTCAGGGAACCATGAGGGTGAAGAGCAGAAGAAAGCTCTAATGAGTCTGTTCCCTGAGGGAGACCTTCTGAAGCCACATCCCCAAGCAGGGAGTCCTACTGGGATAAGTCAGTGTCTCATCATCATCTTGTACCACCAGTCCAGCTGCTTGCTGGGCTCAAGTCCAAGGATCAGAGTCCAGGTGTTTGCTCCTCATCCTGAGCACATGCACAGACTGGTCCCAATACCCCTGGCCACTGCAAGCTGCCTGAGCACCGCTCCCAGCCTGGAGCCCAGGGCCTTATCCCTCACCCACCACACATCTCATGGCAGCAGGGATGTGACTGGTACTCACAGCCATAGAAGGCCCGGGAGAGGATTTGGTACTTCATGTTGTCACACAGGAGCTTCAGCGGAGCTCTGCCAACAAAAACACAGGGGATGTCAGAAGAGGAAATGCTCCCGTGCATCCCCCTCAGTCAGGCTTTGATCTGACTGATCCAGCTGTGCCTGCAGAGATGCATCACAGGACCCAGCTCAGCCTCAGAGCAGCGATTCCTGCTGCCAGGATATGGCCACAGAGCAGCTGAGATGTCCCAGATGCAGGGATGCCCTGGCTTTGCCATGCCCACGTGTCCCACGGGAGCAGCAGCTCCTCGTACCTCTCGTGGCTGCAGCCGTTGGCCGGGCCCCCGTCCGAGGAGCCGCTCTGGGAGCAGGAGGAGCAGGAGGATTTGCGGGTGCTGGGCTGCCACATGGGGGGCAGGGCAGCCCCCGGCCCATCCATCAGGTCCTGGGGCACTGCAGGAGTGGAGAGGAGAATCAGGGACCGCCTGGCACTGCCCCTGGAGCCAGGGACACACAGGGGTGTCAACAGAGAGCTTTGATTAGCAAATGCAGCATCTCACTCTTCCCAAGGAGGGCCCACTGCAGGGAATCACAGCACCGGCACTGGTGAGCTCAGGAGAAAGGAAAGGGAACAAAGAGCATTGATGAGAGAACCATCTGCTAATTAACAAGCTCATTCAGAAAGCTGGTCTTAAACTGCTTTGTGCTGACCAAGGCAGAAACCCAACACCCAATGCAGAGACTCCAGAGAAGGGGCTGCAACAGACCGAAACAGATGAGAAAAAACAGGATTGAAGTCAACTGCTGTCCCAGGAAGAGCCAATCACTGGCAGGGAAAAGCTCCCACCTCTCAAACACTAGGATCCCATCCAAGATTCACAGAAAGAAGGGATCACCAAAATCAAAAGACAGGAGATGAAGACATGGATGAAGAGGTTGAGAGGGACAGCAGGAGCTCTGCATGTTGTCACTTGCTAAATCCTGCTTAAACTTGAATTCTACTGCAACAGCCTCGTGTCCTGCTCAGGTACTGTCCACACACTGGCCAGGAGATGGAGAATAATCCTATTTACTCCTCCTTGGAAATTAAATCAGGGTAGAAATTCCATCTTCTGGCCATGAGAGGGTTTCATCACACCCTTGGTCTCACACTCTCCCTGTTTGTGGTATTGAACAGGTGGTACCGGCAAGAAAAAATGCTGAAATATTTCTATAAAAACCCCTTCCTTTCCCCTCTGACTGAGCTGATAGGTCAGCGATGGTCAGCAGGGACAGGGACACCTCAGCAGGACTTGTCAAGTGACAACACAGGTGAGCTGAGTGCCAGACACAACCAACCACAACAGTCCCATTACACTGGTGCTGGGAGGTCCCCAGAGCAGCACGGGGAGGTCGGGACGTGATGAGGAGACTCAGACACCATTTAGGGATCACCACCATACTGCTTGCAGTTGGAGTCCTCGTCATCTTCCCTCTCCCAGCACTCATAGAGATCACAGGTGCACGGAATGGGTGAAAAGTACCATTAATGGCAACTAGAGACACAGAGAGAGGACAAGGGCACAAATGAAAGGGCAGAAAGGATGAATCTGTAGACAAGAGAGAACGATGCAGTTCCACCACCCTCTGGGAAGGTCCACAGGAACAGCACAGGCTGTGATGACGCCAGCTGAGGAGATGGTAGCAATTTATTTCACAGAAAATGTGGCCCCCAGCATGGAATTTTAAGGGGTAGATCAAAAGGCAGCCACAGAAAGGAGCATCTCTGCTGTTTTAGCTTCAATCAGATTTTTATCTGACTCACTGAATTGTGTTAGTCAGCTAAAGGCAGGGAGAAGTAAGTATAATCTTAACTGATGTTATGGAGGAGTCACAGGGGATGTGATTTCCCCCTTATAGCCTCAAAAATATAGGAACAAGGTTTTGATCAGATTCCATAGCTTTTTAAAAAACCCTCCACAAGTCTTCTATCTAAAACTGATGGGTTTCCTCCCCTGTAAAGTCACCTATGATGTCCCCACATGTCAGAAAAAGCTTCTTGGTATCTCACAGAAGAGAGAGGATCAATGTAAAGATATTTCATTCAAATTCAAATCATTCACCACCAGACATTAAGAGACATTTCTGGTTTGCTGCATCCAGCAGCATCCCCCCCCTTGCCCCATGAGTCAGGGACTGAAGACACATGGGAGAAGGGTGCTTTGACCTCCCCTTTGCACTGCAGAAGCCACACTGAGGGAACATCACTGGATTTAATGCAGCACTGGCTGAGCCAGACTGGGACAGCAAGAGAAGAATCAGCACTGGGGGCTTGTGATGGTGGAAAGTGACCCCCAAGTGACCAAAGTGAATATTCCTACTCAAGTTATGTGTAAGAGGGTTGTTTTCTCCTCATTAAGGCTGTTGTGGCTGTTGTGCAGCTGCAGAAACAAAGGACTCAACAGCAAGTGGAAGGTTGAAACAAAAATCCACAGACAGAATCACGGAATGGGTTGGGTTGGGAGGGACCTTAAAGCTCATCTCATTCCAACCCCTGCCATGGGCAGGGACACCTTCCACTATCCCAGGTTGCTCCAAGCCTCATCCAACCTGGCCTTGGACACTTCCAGGGATAGGGCAGCCACAGCTTCTCTGGGTAACCTGTGCCAGGGCCTCCCCATCCTCCCAGGAAGGAATGACGACATTGAACAGGCAGCAATGACACAACACAAGCTCTTCCTCTGGAACCACTTCCTGGTTTGCCATGGTGCCCTTCAGTGCCCTGTCTCATAAACCCTGTGAGAACCCCCCAAAACTCTGCCCTGCACTCACCAAACTCAGCCTGTGTCCCAGGGTATATTATCCTGAACACATAATCTGTGGCTTCGTCATCCTCCTTGTCGGATGCGGACTCGGAGGAGCCCTGGGGGCTTCGCTTCCTCAGCTTGGGAAACACTTTGCCCTGGGGGAACAAAACCAGCCCTTCATGAGCTGCCCCACACTTGAGCACTCGCTTCCCAAGCTCCTGCCCCACCACAGCATGTGCCCTTCCAGCCTGGATGACTTTCCACATTCCCTAGGCTGGAGCAGCCTTTGGATGATGCCTTCCATTACAGGGTGGATCTATAACCCTGTTGGGCACAGGGTATGTACAACCCACGAGAACCAAACCCGCTGTGCGCCATGGGCAGCCCTCCCACACCCCCCACCTTGAGCTTTCCCAATGGGTCTGTTTGGCTGGTCAAAGCCACAAGCTAAAAGAAACCACCATACTTTGAAGCCCATCTTCCTTATTAATTTTGGGAAGGGGATTACTTAAAACACAGAGGGCACAAATTCTGGGCGGAGCAGCTCCACTTGGAGACGCTCCACTCAGGAACAACAGCAAGAGCCCCAGGAAACAGCCCAGTTTCAGAAAACCCACCTTCCCCCGCTGTGACCAGAGGGGTGGGTCCAGCTGCCCGTGGGGCAGGAGCCCGTTCTCCAGGCAGGACAGGAACTGCAGCAAGTGGCCTCCTCGGGGGAACCGCAGCGGTGGCCTCTGGATCCCGTCCTGGCTCACCAGGACCACCGTCCCACCACTGTCTACTGTTGGCAACAGTGACAGCAGGGAGGAGAAGAGACATCAGCGAGGGAAACAGCACCAGTCCGAAAGGCAGAGGGCAGGGAAGCTCAGGGAATTGTCTTTCTAGCATGGAAGAAAAGGACTTTCTTCCTTGTAATGGACTTGGAGAAGAATCCAAACAAGTCTGGGGTGCTGGAGAAGGTTTGCTGGGATCACACCCTTGGAAACCAGAGCGTCCTGCTCTGCAAGGAGCTCTCCCAGCCAAGCATTGCAGCCAGGAGCTGGTGGAAAGTTTTTCTTGGAAGCATTTACATCATAGTGACCACCCAGAGCTCCGGACATCTGTCCTGGAGCCAAATCCAAGCTATGGGCACTCCCCAGAGGTAAGGAATCAGGGTGTCAGGGTGCCTGGCCTTACCTTGCTGGTGACAGTGCAGATAAACGATCTCCTCCAGGCGAATGGTCATGGCATAGTCCCAGTACACACTGGAACAGAGACAGGGAAGCCATGAGCCTTAGGGATGTGAGAGGCTCTGCTCCTGCCCACATCAGCTCCAGATCCTGCCTCCAGATACCCTGGTGATAGGGGAAGCCATGGAAAGGAGGAGGTCCCAGAGCAGTGATACCAGCCTGGTGAGTGACAACATCTCTCCAGAACCAGTAACTGTCCCTGCCACCTCAGCTCAGCCAGGGCAAGTCCAGTCCCACCTGCCCCAGGTGGTTTCTGTACCCTCACACCATTCCCAAACATGGACAATGTGCCCATGAATCCTTGCAATTGCAGGGAGTGACATGGAGCCCTGCAGAGCTGAGCACTCCCTCTGGGCACCCCAAGGACTCCCCACCCTGCTGCAGTGCTGGGAGAACCCCAAGAATCCAACAGGAGTGGCCCTGGAGCCCCAAGGGAACATGCAGTGCTATCCAAGCCTGGGCTGCTGCTCTGCTGAGCTCCTGCCCCCAGGGAGGGGAAATAAACCCTCACAACTGGTGGGGTTTCTTTCAGAGCTGACAATAGATTTGGTCTCAGCTGCTTCTGTTCAAGAACTGCCTCAGCACAGGCACCCCGAGGGGCCTGAGAAAATCTAGAACATGCTGGATTGCTGGTGGCCACCAGACAGGGCAGAGGGGCAGGGAGGGCCAGGAGGAAGACAGGGAAGGGAATGTCTCCAGGGTTTCGTTCCTGTGGAGAGCCCAGCACTGCTCTCTGATAGTGTCAGCACTCCATCACATCCTACTTCTGTGCAACAAAGCAAATTTCCAGATCCTGAGCAGCATCGTCTGCCACTTCACAAAAATAGTGCCTAAATAACATTTAAAATGGCTTGTGAAGGCAGTGAAGGACAGAAGGGGTGCAAGAGTCACTCCCTGTACAGTCATACTTACTGTGCCATCTGCCTCCTCTCTTCCTTGGTCACGTCTTGACACTGGGAAGTTTTAGAACTTAGGCTGATGCCCAAGTCAAGAACTCAGAGAAGGAGTGTAGAGATGAAAATAGCATTTTAGGGGGAGGGTACCAGGCACAACTGAATGGCCCAGGGGCCAAGAAGAAAAGGGAGATGAAAAGAACAGGTAAACAAAACCCAAAAAACTACAATTGAGAATGAACAAAGCTGAGACCAAGTTCTGCTGAAGAAGATCTCTAGGTCAAAGCATCAGTGCTCTAAACACTCCCACTTTACTGGAGCTGCTGGAAAGGGATTTTGTTTCTCAGGCAAACTGGGACCTGGCACGATCCAGCCTGTGAAAGGATTGCAGCTGTCAGGGGAAACGCCAGCAGTCCATCAGGCAATGCCAGGGAAAAGGGCTTGGCCACATAGCCTGTCAAGCAAACTAAGCAGATCTCAGGAGGAACAAGCTCCAGGGACTCCAATAAATCCAAGGGACTTTGAATACCTGCATGTAGGTTCACTAGAAAATGGCACACACTGACAACTGTCTGATCCTCTGGGAACAGTTCACATTCCCTCTCTGCAGATTCTCTTCCCTGTTTATGAGCTCCTCATCTTCCCAGATTGCAATAACCAGGATAAACCTGAGACCACTGAGGGCATTCCCCTGAAAAATCCCCGAGGGCAATAAACAAAAACCAGTTTGTGTGTGTTGGAACAAGCCCCAGCTCCCTCACTGAGCACTGCCCAGCAGAACTGGGCAGTAGCTCAGCATCTCACTCCACCTCCCTTCACCCTCCCCAGGCCTCCTTCCCTGTCCCTTCCCATTACAGACTTGAGGATGAGGTTTTTGCTTTGCAGTCGCCAGGAAAACATTGCTGGTTTGGACACCAGATCCAAACTTTGACCCTGGGGAACATTTGCACCCCCTCTGCTCCAGTCACCTCTTCTCGTAGTCCAGGTCCCCCACAGAGCCGTTCATCAGCTGGTTCGGGGTCCACTTCAGTGCCATGATGTCAGCGGTCTGGTGAAGGGACAGATATCCTGGGATTGCCTCCATGTCATCTCGCTTGAGGGGAGAAACACAGGGACAGAGTGAGCTGGAAAATGCCAGGAACATGAAGCACCATCCCCAGGCTGCCAGAGGCTGAGCCTTGGAACCAGTTCTGGCCCCTCACATAGCCTTGCCTGCTGCCCTGAGCCCACCCACTCACCCACAGTGAGAAACCCACTGTGGCCCTGAAAAACCTCCTGGCGGAGATGCCAGAACACCTCCCCGGCTTGGGATAGGGCTGAGAGCAGCTGCTCAGCAAGAAAAACTTAACAGCTCCACCTAAAAGCAGTTTGCACTTCATTTATTTGACTACAAGAAGCAGGATAGGACAGGAGGGGGAGTTTTATGGTAAAGAGTGGGCAGGGAGAGGAGCCTGCTTCTACTCAGACCAGAGCAGAGCTCTCCTGTTCCACTTGGAGGATCCATATCACCAGGACCTCCACAAACACAGTCCACTCACTGCCTTCCCAGACCAAAAATGAGCCTGTGCTTTCCTCCACCGAAGAGCAATTTGGGGTAGAAGGAGCTGTTGAGGGGCAGGGCAGCATTTTCAAGCCCAGATGCCCCAGCAGGAGCTCACCGGCTGCACCAGGACGTTGTTCTTGCCGTAGAGGAGCGTGGCACGGGAATTCTGGTGCAGTGACTCCACATAGTCCCTGGCAGACAGGGAGGGCCGGTCATCCATGCTGCCACTGGAATGTCTTTTCTGAATCTGGAAGAGAGCCATCCACAAATGTGAGGTGAGCACACACACCTCGGGCTTTCCAAAAGCCTCTCTTGAAGCTCATTCCCTCCTCACTTACACACTTAAGTCATTACCAGAACTCTTCCCCTCAGAGTCCTCTAAGAGGATTCCTGGCTCTGGCCAAGATAATTTCTGTACTTAGAAAAGCCCCAGGAGTGTGCTTTATTTGCAATAAACACTGCAGACTCCAGCTGCCCTTGCTTTGTGTTCATTCACGATATTCCCAAGGGGCACAGACCCCACGATGCCCCCGTGCCCCGGCACTCTCCATGGACCGTGCTCCCAGCACTTCTGGCTCAAAGACTTCCCTCATCAGAGGGCCCCAAAGCCCTTTTCAAACACAGGGAGTGCAGAGCCCTGGCTGTGGCTCTGGGAGGAGCCCAGTGAGGGGCTGTCCCCCCCCCCACTCACGCAGAGCGCCGGGCGCTTGGTGGGCGAGTCCTGCCGGCAGTGGGAGCTGTGGATCCGGTGCCGCTGGACCAGCTCATCCGCCGAGGGGTCTGTCCAGAAGTGGTCAGCGGTTTTCATCTTCGTGTACTCCAGTGCACAGGGTCCCACTGTAGAGAGGAACAGCCCAAACATAAGGGAGCCATCGGTGTTCCCATGGCCACGGTCACCCCCCCCGGATCCACAGGGAAAACAACTGCATTTCACACCCAGATCACAGACCTGGGAGCACAGGGTTGGAAAGCAAAGGGTAAGAGGGAAGCATTACCCAATAAAGATGCAAGAATTGGCCCATCCACAGGATCCATCAGGAGAGCCTCCTTCTCATAGTACTTACTAGAAGAAATAAAAGACAGCAGAAAGCTGGAGGGCTGCAAAATGGGACTGCAAAGTTATAGACAGTGGTTTTAAATCACTGGTATGCCCTTCTCTTTCTGTATCGACCCTTGGTGGGAAAAGGGCAAAAAGCCCTTAACAGGCTGTTTCTCTAGCTGTGAAATTCCTGGAGAACAGACACCTTCTGCAGCACGTTGCAAACATCACCATCTCCTAACAAAACCTGCCCCAAGACTGGAGATCCTCCCCAGGACAGGTCACCTCGGTATAGAGATCCCAGAGGACAAAGACAATACAGCCTCTGACAACCCAACCACCAGCAGGGCAAGTGTGGCCTGTCTTTATTTTAGGGAGTGCACAGTGGCCACCAGCAGCAGGGTGTCCAGCAGAGTCCCCATGATGGGCACTGAGTGACACAGTGGGCCTGTCCCATTCAGGGCGCTTCTCTGGCCCACTTGGACACAGCTCAGACAGCAATGCCCCCAGTGCCATCAAAGGGGCAGATGCTGGCAGTGATCTGGGACAGGTAAACGGGTGGTCTGTGCCTGCACTCACCTGCTGTTCTCTACCAAGTAGTGCACAATTTTATCCAAGACCTTTTCGAAGAGGGCTGTGCGGATCCAGAGGTGCTTGATGGCCTGAGGAGACAGGTTGGGCAGCTTCGGCACCTTGCGCATGTTCTCCGGGATGCCCTGGACTTGGTTTCGCCTTTAGAGGTGCAAGACAAGAGACAACATCATCACTGGCTCGTCCCTGAGCTCTGCAGGAGCCCAGGGCACTCCCACACCTCAGGGGGCACAAGGTCAGGGTTTTGGTGGTGCTGGGGAAGCTCAGGGAACTGCCTGGGAGAGGGCTCTGGAGATGCTCCCTGCATCTATCCCAACCCCTGCTCCAGAAGGCCACACCTGCATTTGGAACCAGATTTACTAAATTAGTTTCCCACTGTAAAGACACCCCAAAACAAGGCTCTCCCTCAGCAGAGGCCTCCAGCCCACACACTTTTCCACATGTGTCTGAGGACAGCAGTTCACAGGCAGAGCAGCTTATCTTAGGACAGCATAAAATTCCTGCCCCGGGTAGCTGCTCCATCCATCTCCCTCGTTCCTGTCCAAGGATAAGTGAGCCGCTCTCAAACAGCAGTTGAGTTACTGCAGGTTCAAGCCCTGCACATTGAGACAGAGCAAATGTGGTTCCAGCTGACTGAGTGAACTGGCCCATAAACCATGACGGCTCAGGAGCAACACACACAGCTGTCCCTGAGGCACGAGAGAAGGGGCAGAGGGATAAGAACTTGCCCACCCCTGCTTAAACCACAGGCACAACTCAGTCTCCTAGGAAAGCAACCAGTTTGTTCAAGACAGAAAAGTCCCAGGGCAAGACACTGTTCCACTGAAGGAGCAATACCCCGTGTTGAGGCTCAAGTTGGACCTCGCAATCCCCAGCCATACCCAAACCACACCCTCATCCCAAAACACGAGTGACCAGGGGACTGACAGCAATGCCAGTGCCTTACGCGTTCTCAATGAGCTGCTCCAGGTCTTGCACCTTCTTGCAGAGCTCCTCTGCCAGGGGGAAGCTCTTCCCCACCTTCATGAAGAGCGCTGCGATCTTGTTGCTGCGCAGGAACCCGGCTGCCCTCCGCTTCAGGCCGTGCAGGACACAGGATTCCACGGCAGCTGCAACAGAGCACAGACCTCACTAGAGCCCCTTCCCCATGGACTCAGGCTGGGAATGCTGGGGCTGTTCAGCTCAGCCCAGAGAAGAGAAAGTTGTGTGGAGACCTCACAGCACCTTCCAGGATCTGAAGGGGCTTCAAGGAAGACAGGGAGGGACTCTGAATCAGGACACCCCCCACTAGCCCAGGTTGCACCAAGCTCCATCCAACCTGGACTTGAACACTTCCAGGGAGGGGGCAGCCACAACGTCCTAAAGCTTCTCCGACAATATATTTGAAAGCAGAGGCGTTCCCTCCTGGCCTTCAGGAAAACACCCTTGTCAGACTTGGGACAACTAACAACACATGCTGCAGCTTCTCCAGATAAGCTAATTCCTGTGCAGACAAAGGCCAACACTCTCCTCCTGAGTTTCCTGTGGATTGTGGAGAAATCAAACAACTCCCTTCATCCCAGTCTAAGGGCATGGTTGGAACAGGATATTTCACTCCCTGTGCTGGGATGGTCCAAGGAAGGAGAAAGCTCAGGCACACTGAGGGTTTCTAAAGTAGCACAGGAAATGGGACGATTTTTCCCCAAAAAATCTCAGTGTTCACGCAAACATTTTTCCCAAAAAACCAAAAGGAATAGAGAAACCTGGGGATAAACCCCGGGCAACACCAGCAGCTTGCAATGACTCCACAGAAATACGTGCACACACACAGGCTCCACCAGCAACCTGCTTCCCAAACCCCTTGGGAGGGCTCCGGATGGATGTCTAGAGCCAAACACAGACTGATTACACAGGATGATCAAAGCACTGGAAAATCACACGGACCTACAACTCTCCCTGTGCCCTCCCAGGGGCTCCAAGGTTGGAGCACACACCCTAAGAGCACCTTGTCCATGCTAAATCCAGGGATAATGGTAGGTTTTTTAAACCTAAAAACATGAGTTTTTGAGCTCAGTTCATAACTCCTGTCACCACCAAACACACTCTGAAGGGATTCTCCCCATCCCTCAGGATAAAATCTGCAGCAGAGCCATGTGATGCAGAAGCTCTGTGCAGCTACGCCCAGGTAAAGTGGGAGCTTTGATTCCTGGCAAAAGACATCTACAGGTACTTCTGAGTTCCCCAGACCACTGGTGTGATTCAAACCCCTCTGGCTGAGCAGACTCAGCATTGATGTGGACACCAAAGCCTGGGCTCACACCAGCCCCCAGCCCTGCTCCCAGTCCTCCATCAGCCTCCCAGGGCAGCCCAGACTGACAGATGCCAACTCGTGTTTATCTGCTCCAGACCCCCCCTTGCAGGAGAACGGGGGGGCCGGGGGCTGCTGCCCTTTCCTGCCACAACACTGGTTCCACCCGGAGGGGTTTGCAGTACACTGGCCACGCAGAGGGTGGGGAGGGATCTGTGAGGAAGGCAGCCCTCTCCGGGGAAAAGGGCAGCTCTGGCAGCCAGAGCCAGGCTTGCAGCACGCTCTGCTTGGCAGGGAAAACGGTTATTTATAAGCTCACCAGGCTCCTGGAGAGCCACAACACCGAGGAAGGTGCACGTACCATTCAAATGAGAGAGGAACTGCAGCCAGAGCAGGAGAGGAGACACCAACAGCCAGGAAAGGGCAGCAGCAGCATTAAGGAGCCAGAAGGGACCAACGAGCCCTTCGTGCCTGGATGCCTCAGCTCCATGTCGCAGGAGCCTATAAATAATCCCCTCGTGCTGCACAGAACAGCAGGGAATGAGTCACACCTGGGAGTCTGCTCTGCTCTTTCGATGCCGCACAAAGGGCCGGGAACCGGCTCCTGTCTTTGATGTGGGGGCCCAGCAGGAAAGGAGAAAGGCTCGTGGAGCAAATCTAGAGCGGGGACACAAAATTGATAAGGGGACTAGAGCACCTCCCCTATGGAGACAGGCTGGGAGAGCTGGGGCTGATCAGTCTGAAGAAGAAAAGTTTGTGTGGAGACCTCACAGCACCTTCTAGGATCTGAAGGGAGTACAAGGGAGATGAAGAAGGATTGTGCATCAGGAACTGGAGTGACAGGACAAAGGGGAATATGCTCAAACCGAAAGGGTAAATTTAGGTTAGATATTAGGAAGAAATTCTTCTCTGTGAGGGTGGTGAGGCTCTGGCACAGGCTTCCCAGAGAAGTTGTGGCTGCCCCATCCCTGGAAGTGTCCAAGGACAGGTTGGACAGGGCTCAGAGCACCTTGGGATAGTGGAAGGTGTCCCTGTCCAAGGGGTGGAATGGGATGAGCTTTAAAGTCCTTTCCAACCTAAACCATTCACTGATTCTAGGAAAAGGCAGAAGCCCCTCTGGTCTCCAAGGCAGAAAAGGAGACCTCACCACCCCCTTCTTGTTCTTTTTAGTCTGTGGGTGCTGCAATCCTGTTCAATGGTGACAGTGCTGCACGAGCCTTCCTGGAGCAACCTCTTCAAAAGCTGCTTCTCATCACGTCTGGCATTTTCCTCCCAGTCTCCAAATTAACAAGCTGCCCTTGAGCTCTTTGTACAGGGAGGAGTGAGGCTCCCTGCACTCGCTGCCTGCAGCCCCTGCTCAGCAGCAGCCCCTCAGCCCCAGCATGTGGGTACAGTGGCTGTACCTCAGCCAACAGCCCCGCTGGGAGATGGGCACAGCCACCACACAGGCTCCCCCACTTCCCAAAAATCCAGGGCTCATGGTGTCAGAGCAGAGTTCGTGTTCCATGCGCCAGCCTCACTCACCCAACAGCCTGAAGTGCTTGCCCTGCTCACAGTATGCTAATTTGTTTCAAATTAGTTTGAAATTCATCAGATACCCCCAGTCTACCAGCCAGGTCCCCCCTACTTCTCCAAGTGCTGCCATGTGGCAGACTGGACACTGGAAGCTGCGTTTCCTGGGCACTGACTGTCCCAGTCACACATTCTCCACTCTGAGTGGTTGACAGAGTGGCACAGGAGGGCCAAAAGAACAGAAACAATCTAATTTTGCCATCCTGATTGTAAAGTCTCTCTGATGACCAAACCTGTGACACATTCCACCTGGAACAAGGCTGCTTCTGTCCTGCTCCCCACTACCTTTGAGGTACAACTACTCCTCCTCTCCTGCTCCCCAGTCCTTGCTCAGAGGCCCCCAGCACATCTCACAGCCCAAAGCCAATAGCTCTTTAGGGAGACTTTTACAGACCTCTTTGCCAAGGTATTGACGGATCCGTTCTGAAACACTTCCACATTTACAAAATTTTTATACCAGTAGGAGGAAAATAGGTAAAAAAGCAGGTTAGTAAAAAGCACAACTGCCAGAAAACAAGCCCCAAACCAGTCTAGTATCAGAGCAAATGTTCCACAAACTCCATCTAAAATTCTCTATCAGCCTCCAGCCTCTCTGCTCCCGCACTCTGGCAGACTGCAGACTCCTTTCCATAAATTCCTATTCCATCATAGCAAAGAAATATTTGGACTTGACAGACTTTCAGTTGAATCAATTCTCAGGGGAATTTAAAAATAAAATATTATTTCTAGTACTTCCTAAGTGGCTGCACACACCGCCAGCAGCCCTCCCTCTTGACACATCTCAATATATTTTAGGCACAGGGCAAAGGCCTCAGGGACACTGACTGCTGCCAGAACAACTCACCCAGTGGCACCAACCCTCTCCCCAGCCCCACGCCCTGGAGCTGGAGCGTGTGTGTTCCCAGGAATGGCACAGGGCACAGCAGGGAAAGCCCAGCACCAAGAGGGTGCTCCAGCCCCAGCCCAGGTCAGCATCCTGCTATCAGAGACTCACCGCAGAAGGAGATGATGTGGCTGCTGTCCTCGTGCACAAACTTCCTGGTCACTGCCTCCTCCATGATCTGCTTCACCTGTGGCACAGAGGCAGATGGAGAAAACATGGAATTTCAGCCACGGACCAACACAAGGAGACCCGTGGTGGGGTGGGCACTCAGAAACCTCCTCTGCTCCCTGATTATTCCAGTGGTACAGGGGGTCTCATGGAGGATCAGTGCAGCTCTGCCTGCTGAGCATCACCAGCTGTTTTGAAAAGTCAGGTATAAAAAAGGGATTGTTTCACTTCTGAGAAACTTCAAAGTACAAAAACGATGAGCAGAGAATTAACTACAGGAATTGAGCATCGTTTAGATAAAAGCCTTCTAACAAAGGGCAAGCAAATCTCATATTTAATGCTCTTACAGTATTTTTCCATTCCTTCATTTTATTCAACAAATTTCATGTGACATGGCTGTCCCAAATGACTGTAACTATCCATCAGTGCCTAATTCAGGGATCACCTGGCACCAGCTGTGCCCAGGAATGCCATTTGCATGGCAATGCCAGGAGCTCTGCCCTCACTGACTCTCACTGCAGTACAGCTGATCAAAAGGAAACTGGCACTAGTGCACATCAGGGGCATGATTAGGGGATGAAAATAAATAGGAACCCACATAAATTAGGACGATAATTTTTGCAAAGAGAAGACAGGAGGTCAGACCTGCCAGGTAAGTGGAGTACAGAGGTGGTGACTTCCATCCCCAGCTGCACCCTCCCTAATCCAGCTGAAAGTAGCAGAAGTCCAGCTGAATCTTTGCTCCTTAAGTGTTCAGTTCCCAACCACTTTTCCTGTTTAACACAGAGCTGCCAGCATGCCCAGATCTCCTTTTCAGTGCCTCTATAACATCTTGCTTTTCACTCCCTGGTTTCAGAAACCACTGGGGAGAGGGTTCCCAGTGCTGTGGGCATAAGGAAGGCTCTGCTTAGCAAGGTGTTCCCTCTGCAGGCACAGGGAGGAGATAAAAACAGCAGGTCAGGACTTGGCCAAGCAGACCTTGGAGGTATGAGAGACCTTTAATAGCATCATTTGGGGAATTAAACTCCTTTGCAAGATATAATCAAGGTCAATTATGCACAGTTAACAGCTCAATAAAGGAAATCCTTTACGGGTACGGATTAAGGAAAAAGTCCTCTCTGAAGCCAAAGCTCCTCTGTGTGTCAGAGCCATCAGGTTCAAAGCTCCCAGCCCTGCTCCCTACCGGGTGACTAACAGAGCCCAGTCAAGGGCACTGAGACTTCCCTGGATCCCAGCAGCTCAGATGCGCTGACAGTGAGTCAGGAAGTCACAGCAAGGAATGTCACTGAGATGTGGACTTCAGGACTGGAGGTGGCTCAGAGCGCTGGGAAATCCCTCCTGGCACAGCACGTTCCAGCTCCTGCAGCTCCCACATCCCGACTGCGCTCAGAGCAGTGACTCCAGCTGCAGGAACATCCCAGGGGTGGCAAGCTCTGCTTCCAGGGACCCAAAAAAAGGCTTTATTGTGTCTCAAAACTGCAGCTGTCCCTGGTCAGGGCACCTCTTGGTGCTCCTTCCTCACACCCCACGAACAGTTTTCCCCTCATCCCGGTGCCCCGTGCTGAGCACCAAGGAAGGGGCAGTTGCATTCCTCACTCAGCTTCCCAGCTCCAGCGTTTAATTTTAAACTTCAACAGAAGGAACACTGCTCTGTCCCTGTTTCTGTTTTGCAAAGTCCCAGCAAGAGGAAAGGATCCCTCTTTCCCACATATCCCTTGACCTCGGCAGCAGTGGTGGATTAGGGATGGGCAGCACCAGCATCAGTGTCCAGGTGAACACCAGAGTTGCTCTTTTTCCCCCACCTGACATTACATATGTCCCTCAAAGACATGTCAGTCCTCCCTTCTGAAACCTCAACCAACTCAGGACACCTCACCGACCACCCCTTCAGGGCAGCCCTGGAAGGGAGGTCTGGCAAGGCACGTCTTGGGGCCCTCAGGGATTCCCCAAAATTTGGCTCTCCCAGCTGGCCGAGCTTTCCTTGTCCAGATGGCTCATGGCCTTCACCCAGCCAGGCTGTGCCTCCTCTGTCAGCAGGACACGGCACTTCCCTCTCACACATCCAACTGATCCACCAGAAAACAACGATGTACAGATATTAAATGTACCCTCGTGGCAACACTGTTAATATCAGCATTTTAACCCCCTCCCAAAATACACTTGAGAACCAATGCACAGAGTTATATCTTTACCAGCTTCAAATTAAATCAGGAAATATCCCAATAAGCAGTATATTCAAATATTTGTTCAAAATTTGAATATATTGACACAACACCTGCAGTGACACTGGCCCAGGGCCTTCCCCAGGGCAGTGACCATCTGCCTGTCCAGGGCCTGTGGAGCATCCAGGACAGCAGGACTCCAGCTTCAAACAGGTATCTTGGTGCCAACACAGCACAAACCACCTGCATGCTTGAGGCACAAACAAAAAACCTTCCAAGAGGCACAGTTTAGTGGAAAATTACTCATTAAAAGTAAAAAAATGCACTCTGTTGACTGAGGTTATTGCACTAAAAATAACTCTGCAGGACTAGAAGTGGAAAGGGCACTGCAACAAGGGCACTCACCTGGCATGTGACAAATGCAAACACCAGTCCCAGCAGGTAGGAGACAGACAGACATGGCCTTGCAACAGAAAACAAGGGATATTATGGAATAAGGAATCATGGAATGGTTTGAGTTGGAAGGGACCTTAAAGCTCATCCATTCCCACCCCCTGCCATGGACAAGGACACTTTCCACTACACGAGGTTGCTTCAGATCCCATCCAACTAGGCCTTGAACACTTTCAGGGAGTAGAATCAAGAGATTCTAACTTTCTTAGTATGTAGAGAAAGTTTTCCAACAAAATCTTACATTTGCCCATAAACAGACATGTCTGGCATGTCTGTAAGACAGCTCTAAGCCAGAGAACCCCAAAACTCCTAACAGATCTCCTCCTATGCTGTTGTCTGCAGATCCCAAAGGACTCTCCCACCTGGACCCAAACCCCTCCACAGCCAGCTGGCATCACAAACACCACGGGTCCCATCTGCCATGAGCTCCCAGATCCACCAGGAGTTTGTGACACTGAGGGGATGGGGAACAGCTCAGCCACACTTGGCTCCCTCCACACAGAAGACTTGAACAGCCTCTAAATGCGCTGCATTCCAGCATTTTAATGCTAATTCTCCAACTGCAGCCAGAACAATCCCAACAGATGAAGCTGCCCACTCTGGCTCTCATGCCAGCCTAGGGAAATGAGATGTTTGCTCTTCTTTTATGAGAAAGGAAATTAAAACAGCAACTAATAATTTAGCTGTAGGTAAACTCGAGAGGAATCTCATCAAGTATTCCACAGCGGTACAAACAATCCTCCTGGCTCCAGCTGTGAGCACAGGACAAGACACCAGAGCAGGGTGACAGGGTCACTACAGGGTGTCCACACAAACTCAACAGCATTAACTAATAATTTATAATCCAAAGCCACAACCAAAGACAGGCCAGTCTCAACAATATCTGAACCACTACAGTCTGAATCACTGAATCCTGCTCTGCTTTACATGAATGTTTGAACTACAAGGAAAACCACTCTTTCTCCTCTGTGTCCCATCTCCAAAGCCAGATCCAAGAACCACAGGCACTGAGAGGAGCCCAGGTTCTGGCATTCCTTTGGGGCAGCAGGAATCCCGGTGCACCTCCTTCAGACCAGGGATTTGAGCTTGCATCCCATTCCTCCAGGGAGGCTTCTGATCCCAGAGGTCTCAGCCCCTCCCGTTGTTCCCCTCACCCTGGGAAGCTCCATCCCAGCCCAAACTCTGCTGTTAGAATTTAACTTCACTAACTGCTTTTTTCTCCCTTAAAAAGGAAACCAAACCCCTCACCTATCCAGCAACCCCAGAGCCCAGTGAGAGATGAAGGCTTAGACCTCTCTGCTATGAAATTCCCAGGGATACAGTCCATACCCATCCAGTTTTCCTGTCACCCAGCCCTGCTGTCATTTACACTGCTGGAACAAGCCAAATATCACCAGAGCTACAACCACCACCGAGGTGCAGGGACCAGGAGCAAGCCAAGGACTCCTGGTTTAATTAGTCTAAGACAATATTGACTCACAACTGTTTTACCTGTCTGCATTTTTCCCGATACAACCTGTACTCTATAGATTATTCAGGCATGTTTGCAGTCACCGTTTTCCTGCCATCCTTCTATTCAGGGATGTTTGCAGTCACTGTTTTCCTGCCATGCCTCTTGCAAAGCCTGTTGCTGGTTATCAAGTCATTTCTATGGGAGCACAGCACCTCCCCTATATTTGGCCATGCTCATAACTCTGTGAAATTGTTTACAGCAAGCCAGATGAAAACAGAGTCCTCAGTGTGATCCTTTTCCCGGTCCTGCTCCAAGGTGAAGCTCGGTCACATTGCCAAAGGCTGAGAACAGCAAGCTCTGAGGTACAGCCTGTGACGCTCCCAGGCACAGGCCTGGTCACCAGATCCAGCACCAAAAAATGTCTGTCAGAGCAAAAAACGTGACAAAGCAGCCAGACATTGATGCCAAAGCAATAGGAGAGCAGATCCAGGTCTGATTTCAGCCCTCTGAGTGGGTCTTCCCTTCATGTAAATAAAAGCTACAATAACATAAATGTTCTGGTGATTGAGTTCATCTTCAGAGAAGTGTGAGAACTCTCTGAGTATTTGGGCAGTTTGCTGGAAAGTAAATTTAAAAGGTATTAATGGAAGGATCCATAAGGTAACAATGAGCCCTGGGGGGGCACAGGAATGATCCCAGAGATGTGTATTTCTTGATAGTGTTATGCACCAGGCTTTCTTCATAGGGCATCAACTTTTGGCCAAAAATTGATGCTTACAACACTAATTTAAGCTCACTAAGATCATGTTATAGCTGGTTCTATTCCTGTTGTGCTTGTCAAACACACATTTCCAAGCCATCTGTTGGCACTGCCAGCACTGCTTGCTGTAAATGCTCAATACAGACATTTAAGGAAACATTTAAGGAAAACTTTAGTCATTTCTGTGTTTCCAGCACGTGACCTCGAAGTTTTGCCTTGTTCTGCTCTCATCCCAAGGCTCCTGTTTTCCCAGATGATGTCATCTTGACAAGCTTTTTGGATTCAATTAAACATGGCAAAGACTGACACTATTCTCACCAAAATCAAGTGCAACTTCCAGCTCCAAATTGCCATGAAGTCCCGAATCTGTGCAAACCCAGGTATTTCCATGGCAACAGCCAGGACACCAGGAGGGAAGGGGATGATATTTTGGCAGCAGAGAGGGGAGGTTGGGTGGGGAGGAAGGAGGACTGAGGCATACGGACTGAGAAGGGAGATGTGAGGAAGGGGAAAGAGCAGCACAAAACCTGCTCTGGGGATGAAGGATCCAGCCAGGGGTTTCTGGATCATGAGAGCACTCGTGCACCCCTTTGCTTTTATCTTTAAAAGGAGAGGAAATGGTCCCCAGTGATCAGGGATGCTCTTCAGAGCAGATCGAAGCAGGCAATCCAGAAATGCTGCATAAAGGATGTCTGAGTACTCCTGGTTAAGGAACAGCTGAAAAGGACTGCCCTGGGTGCTTAGGAGACATCAGAAGGTCCCTCTGCAAACAGCAGCTTTCATTACCAACCTGCAGTTCATCATCCTCATTTCATCCTCATCTCCATCTTGCCTGAGCACTTTTGACAGCTACACAAAACCCTTTTTCTTTTTTTTTTTTTCCCATGAACTGGCCTTGAGCACATTTAAAGCTCTCAACATTAATTTTTCAAATCCTAGTAATGTTAAATTAATTTACAATTTTCTACCAATCCAGAATGAAATAGCTGGCACTGACACGCGCAGTCTCCTTTTTTGGAACCACGGGCACATAGAAAAACAAACCCAAGCTGCAAAAATATTGCTCTTAGCAATGATTTGTGTTATTTAGCCACAAACCAGGCAACGTGGTTGCGAAGCGGGGGCTTCATTTAAAGGGTGGGAGGAAGGGACTCACTGTTGTCCCCATGATACATGATGAAGGAATTAGTCAACAGCTACACAGTGACAACCATTCAAGCTATTAAAAACAAACAATACATCTGATAGAAGACAAGCAGGCTGTGGTCAAACACAATTTTTAAAAGAATTCTAAGAACAGGCAGCAAAATGTTCAATCCAAGCTCAGCAGTTTCTGACAAGTAAAGAACTAAAGCTGCTTGCTGAGTGGCAAGTTAAATATAAACTAAGTTTTTGCAGAAGAATAACCAAGATGACTGTTTACTTTCATATTCTATTCAGCTTTTCACTCAACTCATTTTCCAGGCACACACACTACAGGTGTATTGCACAGGTAACACCTGCTTCCCCACCCACTCCTCTGTGCAATGCAATTACCTGGAGGTAGTTAAAAATAGACCTCCTCTATTAAAAATGAAACTTGTAAAAGAAGAGGAGGAGCACAGGCTCAATGGGAATATTTGTAGTTGAAAACCCACACTCCTTCAAGCCTGGATATTTCAGGCTCTGGGTTTGTAAAGAAGCCTCAATCCATCTGATAAAAGCTCTTAAAAAAAAATCAGAGAATATTGGTTATGCTTCTTACCCTGCATAACAGGAAACAGGATTCCTTACAAAGTCAGACTTCTCTCCCTCCCTTGCAGCCTGCTGACAAATAGTCAGTTCTGCAGCTTCCGGGCTTAGTTTGATTTATTGTGACCATATGGGAAGGGGGAGAGGAAGGAGACAGCGAGAGATAACACAACTCATCTCAACATGTACATCCACTGCAGCGCAGGACTGCTACAAAATAAAATGCATTAACCATGGCAACAGCCCAATACCGAGGGCTGCTGGCTCACCCAGTGCTCTGGGTAATGTCAGTTTACTGTTTATCTCCCTGCTCAGATCAGACCTCGCCTTCCCAGTGTTTTACTCACTCAGTTATGGCACTGGGATGACAGATGTGGCCCAGCTCCCCAAGGATGATCCCTGGCTGTCCCCTGTCTCAGCAGAGATCACCTGCACTGAGGGCCCCAGCAGCTCACAGAGAGTCATGACTGAACCAAAACCAAACATGGTCTAGCAACATGAGAACACACAGGTTTGTGAAAGGTAAAAATTCTGGGAGTGGGGAAAAAAACCCCAGAGATTTCTGCAATTGGCCTGTTCTACTGCTCCTTGGAGTCTGCACAAGCTCCTGACTTAATGTGGGGTCAGTCTAGGAGAGGAAGAAAAACCAAAAGCATGAGCAAAACAAGCCTAATGAGCAGGGAGCAACAGACACAAGAATGTCCCACCTGCTCCCAGTTTCAAGGATGCTGCTAAATAATTAATTATGTAATTTACAGGATCATGTTTCCCTAGGTTTTTTTAGTTCCTACCAGAACAAAGCCCAGGTGGAGAGCACAGAGAGTGGGTCCCCCATGGAATTCCCCCACCTGTGTGGCTGTGGACACCAGGCAAGGAGAAACCCCAAAGAAAGGTAAACCCCGTGGTACCTGTGTAGGCAGAGAACACACGTCCACACCAACATCCCAAGGTGGAGCCCAGAGTGATGGGACCAGCGGGAAAAAGTCTGTGCTCTGTATGAGCACTAATGGGCTGCTGGAGAGATCCCAGAGTGTGTCAAACACCCCCACCACAGCAACAGGGCAGAAGGGCTTTCCCCATGCACCCCTCCCTCCTTCAGGCTTTACTAACATTCACCAAACCCACGTTTACCTCCCCAAATGCCAGTGGGAAGGGCATGTCCCAAGCCCAGCTCTGCTCCCTGAGGCACAAGCTGCACCTTCTCCCAGCACACGGCCCTGGGAGGGAGTGAAGCCGGGCATTGAAGGCCAGCATGTGAGATGCTCACGGGCAGTGAGAGCCCACAGAGGCACAGAGGGCTCTGGAAGAAGCTCCCAGCTGGGAGCACAGCCCTCGCCTCCCACCCCCAGCGGCAGCCGACGCTCAGGCCGTTGTGTCTCTGCGCTCAGGAGCAGCCACAGACAGTAATAATGAGATGGCAGCTCCGTCCTCGACGCTAAATAAATGTCATACCCTTTTCCTGCTTTAATAGCCGTTGCCCAGGCAACCGGTAGTATTCCTTAGCACCACACCCGGCAGAGGATTAAAGGTGCGAAGTGGTCTGGATGAACAACACTGTCACCCTGCCCAGACCCACCACCCACAGGTCTGGTTCACATGACCCCGAGCAGTGTCTTCCACTTCCCGGAGCCCCTAGGGTGGGTATTGAGATGCTCATAAGACCAGAAACAAAACATCACTCATCCCCTCTCCGGTATCCCGGGAGGATGACCTGCAGGGACAGATCACGGGCAGGAGGTGACAACTGCTCCCGGTGACCCAGCGCTCCAGCACAGGACAGGACTCGGCTCCTGGATGTACTGTGGGCTCTCGGGGTAACACCACAGGGGATAAACCCGGAGCTCTGCTCTGGCGGAGGAGCTCGAGGCAGCCCAGCATAAAACATGGTCTAAACTACCAGAGTTAAAGATGCCTGAGAAGAGGGAGCAGATCGAGATGCAAAATGCCATCACGCTGCACTGGGCACACACGTGTCCACCCCCCTTTTTCCCGGCCAGCGTCCCCAGCACCCGCCGCCCTGCCGGGAGGGCTCGTCCCATCCCCGCTCCCGAGGGAAGGATGCAGCACCGGGAGTCGCCCCTTTTCCCCTGCGGAAAATCCCAAGTTGTGGTGTGCTCTGCGCCCAGAGGCGATTTTCCCAGGATGCGGGGCGCTGGGATGCCGGGCACTGACGCCGCAGGGATGCTCCTCCGCCCGCCGGGACTCGCAGCCGCGCCCGGGTGGGCTGATAGCCCCGGGGTGGGCTCTCGGCCCCGGTCGGGGTTGGTTTTTTTTGTTTTTTTTTTCTTTGGGGGGGGGGTGTGTGCTTAACCCGCGTCAGCAGCAGAGGGAGCCCGGGATGCCGCGGGCGGGTGGGCCCGGGGCTCCCCCCGGGGAGGTCCCCGCGGGGCACCGGGCCGGGGGTCGGGGGCTGCTCCCGAGGGTCCCGCACCCACCTCCTTCTTGACGGTGCGCAGCAGCCGCTGCCGGGTCTCCGCCTCTGCGGGGAAAAGGGGAGAGAGAGGCCCGTTAGTCCGGTCCGGCCCCACCGCCCCCATCCCCGGTCCCCCCGTTCCCATCCTCACCCGCCGGGGCCGCCGCCATGGCCCTGCTCGGCTCCGCAGCGCCCGCAGACTGCCGGGCACACCGGGACGGGCCGCCTGACCGCCCGCCCCGCCGGGGAGGGGCCGCCACTGCCGCCAATCCGCGCCCGGCACCGGGAACCGAGCACCGGGCACCGACCACAGGCACCCCCGGCACAGCTGACACTGAGCACCGAGCCCCGGCACCAGGACCCCCGTCATCCCCAGGACTCCCGGCAGCGGCACCCCTGGCACCCCCAGCATCGATCCCTGGGCACCGACACTGGTATCACCGGGCACCCACAGCACCCCCGACACCAAGCACCGACACCGGTATCACCGGGCACCGGCACCCCCGGCAGCGGCTCAACCTGGACCATCCCCTCACTGGGGTCCCAGCCATCCCCCAGCTCCCAGGGGACACCACCGCCACCAGGCACCCCCCAGCCTGGACCCCTTTCCCCCAGCCAGGCCCCAGGTGACCCGAGGCCGAGGTGCCCCCAGGAGGTGGCACCTGGGTGACACGGGACAGGGAGAGCCCTCGGGGTGTCCCTGCAAACGGGCTTGCTGGGGCAGTGTCCATCCTTGGACAGGGGGTCAGGGCTCTGTGAGTCCAAAGAAATGGGGAAACACCCATGTGCTCACAGCCCCACACCATCCAGGCATGCTCCGGGGACCAGAGGAGACCAAAGTCATCAGAGACCCCCTTCTCCTCCTCTCAAAAATCACAGCCCCTCGGAAAGTGCCCTGCCTGCAGCTCCATTAACATATCTTCTGTTTTTCTCTTCCCTCGTTTGGTGTTCCAGGACATTTCCATAGAAACAGCATCCTGGCTCCTCTGCAGTCCAGTTTCCAATAACTACAAACTGTATTATTGCGAGGGCAGCGGTGCCTGGCCATGCTGCACGTGGGCACAGGGCCACTGGCACAGCCCCGCTGGCTCTTTCTGCCATGGGGACTAATCCTGGCATGGACAGCAGGGACGAGCTCCCACCTCTGCCATCCCCCTGTGATCTGCTCTGCTGCTCTTGAAGCTGGACTGCACCCTCTGCCTCAGAGGCTTTCCCTCCGTGCTGATGCTTAGTGGCTCTGGAGACAGCAGAAATGATGCTCCCAATGGTTCCCCTCCACTGCCTGGACTGGCAGGAGAACAGGAGGGACCTCTGGACTCAGAATTTATCTGAATTCAGTCCCTTTTGTACCTTACAGGGGCCAGGAGGAGACCTGGGCCATATCACTTGAAGAGGAAAACCTATTTCCGTGTCCTCTGTTTGCTTTTCACTGTTTATTTCCTTGTTAAGTACTTGTTAACAAAGGTGGTGGCAGCACAAATGTTACTAAGTTGCAGCAACAGGCACAGCTTGATTGGGAGCATGTGATCCCTGATCCGGATAGATCCCAGAAAGATTCTAGGATCCATGGGAATCTGGCCTGGGCAGCTCTGGGTGCTGCTGGTGGGGTCACAGCTCCCCTCTGCAGTCACTGAGCATTTACTTAACCCTCAGAACTCTGATCCCAGCCCAGGGAATCACCCTGGCCTAAGGCTGTGCCACGCTAGGGACTGTGTGCCTGGTTTGTCCCTATGGCTGCAGCTCTGCTCCTTATGGATACTGGCTATGGCTCTGCTCCCCATGGACACTGGCTGTGGACCCGCGGGGCAGCAAGCCCAGTGCCACTCTCACGAGCTGCACCAGCACATCCCCTCTGCCCAGCAGCCTGTGCCAGGGGTCTGTCCATGGAGAGCCCTGTGGTTGGAGTCCCCTTCTCCCAGAAAGGGGTGTGGGAGGAGAAGGACCAAAGACACAGGAGCCCAAGGCTTTCCTGGTCTGACCTGAGACCCACAGCCCAGTCAGGACCTGGCCCTGGCTGTGCTTGTAGCTCTGCCACCCTGCCTGTCACTTACTGGTGACCACAGGCCCCACGGTCTGGACAGGCAATTAATACACACTAATAATTACCCATAATGACGTGTCCTGGCCTCATCAAACACTGTGTGGGAGCACCACGAGATAGCAGTGAGTGCAATTACCAAGGCACAGACAGTTCACTCACGCCCCTGGCCCTGAATTTTCCCTGGGGCACAGCAAAGCTGTGGCTCTGCATACCTGCAGATGCTGGCACGGAGAAGGTGCCAGGTTCCTGAGGAGCTGGGCACAGCACCGTGTCAGGTACAGCCTGGCACAGCTCCAGTCTCTATGAAGCTCCTGCAGCCCAGGATGAGGGTCTGACCTAAACCTGCCATTCAGGAACGGCCCTGTTACACAGGGGTAATAAACCACTAATTTATTACCTTCCTTTGGGGAAAAATCAGCTGAAAGAAGCACAAGGACAAGCTCTCCTCAAACCTTGCTAATTCCTTTCCCCTGGAATATTTTTCTTCTCCCCGGATTAAAGACAGGTGGGAGACGATTGGCCCCTGTTTTCTGGAGCCTAGAGAGCTTAAATGAGAGCACGTTGATCTATACTTAATGTGATTAAGTTACATCTCTGAGTATCATGCTAATTAAATTAAACTTCCCACTGCTGCCTCTGCACCTCAAACAGGATAGTTGTTTTAAGATCACAACTCGCTCCTCTGCATTTCCCCGCATGGACGAGCAGGTGGGATAAAAGCAATCTGCTAATCAAGTCATTGTGGTGTTTGGAAGCAATTTCTAGTACAGTGGACATTCAAATTTAAATCTGATTTGAGCTGGATTCAAACTGTTTTCAATCTAAGGTCACTTGCGCTTTGAGTAAGGAAAATAACAGGAAAAAGCAGAAATAAACAGAGTGTGTCTGTGTTGAGACAGCATGATATCGAAAGAAATTCTTCCCTGTGAGGGGGGTGAGGCCCTGGCACAGGTTGCCCAGAGAAGCTGTGGCTGCCCCATCCCTGGAAGTGTCCAAGGCCAGGTTGGATGGGCCTTGGAGCAACCTGGGATAGTGGAAGGTGTCACTGCCCATGGCAGAGGAGTGGAACAAGATGAGCTTTAAGGTCCCTTCTGAACCAAACCATTCCATGATCTCCCCAAGACACCTCTCCCCCGCTCTCCTCCCATCTCCAGCAGCCCTGATAACCTGAGAACCTGCACTGCTCTTTCCACCTTGCAGCTTCTAAAACAAATGGAGATTTCAAAGCTCTGCCCTCATTGCTTTGACAGCGCAGCCCTGACCCGCTGCGGAGGGAGGGCGGCATGGATTGGGGATTGTGTGCCCCAGGAGAGGGTGGGAGCTGGGGGAGCAGGATGGGAGCACTAGGAGCATTCATGGCTCATTCCCCAGCGAGGACCTGGGGGATCTGTCAGGGATGGAGGCATTAAACTGACGGTGCAGCACATCCCTGGGCTGGAGCGGAGCAGCAGCGGTGCCTGGGAAACAGATCCAGGGCAGTGCCTCAGCACAGGGGCACAGACAGCAACGGGCACATCCCTGTGCTGGCAAAGCACTGCACAGCTCCAGCTTGGAGCTGCTGTGGGAACAGCTCCAGCTGTGCAGGGCTCACAGTCTTCCTGCACACCCAGCTCTGCCCAAGGAGGGAGGACAAAGCCCATCTCGTGTGATTTAACAGATCAATGTGGGGAAAAAAGGGGGCTCTTTAGAAGAGAAAGTAGCTCGGTTTTAAGCGATGCCAAAGTTTGAACAGCTGCTGCTTCACACCAGGAAAGGGGTCTCAGCCCAGCACCCTGTGCTGAGGGTGTCCTTGCTCCACACAGACCCCTGCAGACCCCCACAGACACCCACAGGTCCCCTCAGATCCCTCAGCCAGCATCTTCAATCAGGCCTGGCAGTGACTGAGTCCATCTGCTGAACCTGCCTGAGCAGAGGCAGGACCAGGGGACAGGAGAGTCTCCCCCTTCGTTACACAGAGCCATTCCATGTAAACCACACAGACAAAAGAAGGGTCAGCAACAGAGAAAATGCTATTATCTATTATCTATTATTTTTAACAGTTGCTATGGCACCAGCTGCCTCTGTTCTGTCATTCATGCTTGAGCTGGTCTTTGGTCAGGGTGTTAAACACTGTTCCCCCAGAGCACTCCACAGGCAGATCACACCAGCAGCAGGGATTTCTCACCTTCATCCCAAAGCCTGGGACAAGGGCAGCCCCTCTGGCAGCCCCCGCGGCCCCCACTGCTGAGCACAGCCTTGGCTTTCATCTCCACACCCGCGCTGAAGGACTGGGACTGGAATCCACAGCTCTGCAAAGTCCCAGGAGTGACACAAATCCTGTATAAACCGCAGGAGATTAACTGTCCCTCACCTGTGTGCTGGGGCTTGGCTCAGGGAGAGCGGCAGTGGGGCTCATGGAGGGGGGGTTGATGGTGGAGGGGCTCTGTCTGGCTGTGGTGGGACCCTCCCAACCTCCACTCACTCTCCACTCAGAGCAGAGACCACCCTGACACCCTCCAACCCAACCCCTTCACTTGGGGTAAAGTCTCATTGCTCCTTGTAAAACCCGTAAGCAGAAAACTGTTGTATTTCAAAGGAGAGGAGTTAAAGGAACAATAATTTTGTGCTAAAGGAACAGTAATTTTGGGTTCCACAGCACAGAGGGAGAAGCCTGTAGAGTGCAGCCCACCCAGTGTGGGGATTGATGAGACCAGAACCTACACCTGTCCCTGCCCACTGGGAGGGGGCAGCCCAGGGCTGGTCACTCCAGTTCGTGCTCCCCACACTGGGTCAGGGGACACCCAGGGGCACAAGGTGAGGTGGTGGGGGGCAGCCAAATGCAGGTGGGGTGGTTCATTAGGAGAAAAACATCCCCTTCCCAGGCTCTCAGGATCACTTTGTGCAGATGGGTGACGCACCATGGCAGAGCCGTGTCCCCTGCTGCTCCTCCACAACCAGGGGTGTGCAGGTGTGGCACGTAGGGGTATGGGTTAGCGGTGGCCTTGGCAGTGCTGGGGGAACACTGGGACTTGATGGTCTTAGAGGGCTTTTCCAACCTCAGTGACTCCATGGTTCTGTGATTCCATCCTATGACAGCCCAAACAGCCGGCGCCAGAAAAATAAAAAAAAATAAAAGGTGTTTTTAACTGGAGGTTTCTAACGGGTCTCCATGTGTGTGTC